GAAGCTCAGAGTAGTCAAGTTATTTGCTCTGTGTTAAATAAATAGCTAATTAGAATTGACTTGATATAGAAAAGTGGCTAAATGGAATAGGTTTTATTTGGGTGGTAAAAGTGGTCAACTTTTAATTGGATTAATTATCTTTTCTTTATAGGACTAAAGTGTTTTGTGGTTGAAACATTCTCAATAGCATATAGAAGTGATAAAATCTATTTGCAGTCTAGGATTTGAAAAAAGCTGTTACAGTTGGCATAAAATGGTTGTCACTCTAATTTGAAAAGTGGTTTACTGTAGACAACTAACTTGTAAGCAAAATTCTATTCTGCACTCCACTGTTTCCTTCTGTGAAGAATGAATTGATACATAGCAGCCACCAGAGGGTACTGTGAAGTCAGTTCTGAGTTTTCTGTCCTGGAAATTGTCTTCTGCTTTAGGTATGTTAAAATGTAGAAATGATCCAGAGAACTCATTCATTAAAAACCTATACATTTCATAGCATCAGTAAATTTATTCCTCTGAAAATTATGTTGATGAGGATACTTCCTACCTTGTGGCAAATGAATGTTAACCAGAAGTTCAACTTCATTTGTTTTTTTAAATCCTTTGTTAGCTTGGCACTTCAGGCGTAACATTTCTTCCCTTTAGTATTTTAGTATTTTGAGTATTGATTTGGCTATTGTTTTATTGAATGGCTTTGGTCTTTTTTATTATAAATAAGAGCTGTGCTATATTATTTTATTGTTGAATACTTAATTACATATTATATAACAGTTAAAGAATATTCAAGTCCTGACCTCTACCACTTCTGGTTGTGGTCCTGGGCAGTTTAGTTGTTTTTTTTAAAATTTGCATAAGACAGATAATAATTTAACTTCAGACAGTTGCCTTAATGTTTAACTGGCATGAATATTTAGCTCATAATCATTGCATTAATATTAAATTGTACTGGATGAATATACTTCCATTTTTTAAATTTAAAAAAATTGAATTGAGTTAGTTATGAAATTTTCAGTCAAAATGTTATTCTGCATATTTCAACTTCTAAAACTTTCTGTAGTGGTAACGTTAAGGTTTTTTTCCTGCTTGCTTAAAATTATGTGGCAGCCTTACATGAAGGTTTCCCCAAATATATGTTGTTTTACTATGGAGTCTTCCTATTTGAGGAGCTCTTTAGAGTCATGCTGTATATATTTTAATTTTTGAAAATATATTTAAAATACAAGGTAATTTGTAAATCTGGGTAAAGCAAATAGTCACTCAGGTTTCTAAATAGAATTATCCATTTTCTTTAAAGCAGAAATAAATGTAACTTTTGCCATTATCCAATATTAGCATGTCTGACATCCTGACACAGACACAGCTCTGTCTCAAAGAGGAACAAAGACTGGTTTTGCAGTTGAGCTTTGTACATAGTGTTTGTTTGAATCCTGATATTGTCGTGGAACCTAGGCTGTTTAAATTAAGGAGGGTGAGCTACTGTTTACTATACAAAAAAGTAAATATCTGTTTATTTAACTCAAAAGGGTTATTGTCATGGTTAAGTGAAAATAAAGTAGTAAAAATCTTTCCTATAAAATCCAGTGTAAGTTACTGGAAACATTTCATTTTCATTACTGTGCTGAATGGGATATTGTGCCCTTTAGAACTAGAACATGGTTTAATTGGGCTGCTTAATGGTCAGAGAATAACACAGTATATATAACATAAGGAATTATATTGTATACCTTGACAATTAAATAATGATGTTACTTAAAAATAACTGATAGTTAAAGTGAACATATGGTGTTTGCCCTTTGGCCTTTCTGCAAATATTCTGCTCTGTGCCTTGCAACTGTTTTAGGTTTTAACAAGAAGATAAGTTATTTATAGTGGGTCCACAGTGTCCATAAAAAAGTTGGTAAACCCCTTATTAATGCCTTTTAAAAGTTATTATTCTGTATCTTGTATCTGGAGATTGATAATCCCTTCATCTTTAGCTTTTTGTCAACTTTACATCATCTTCTGTTACTGACTCCTATTTTTTCCCATTATTTATTTAGGTGCTTAGCTGCCTGAAATTCTTTTTAGATTAATGTGGAATATAAAGTGCAATTTGTTGATCACCTCCCGTATCCAAACTCCCTGTTCTTCCTAGCAAACCACTTCTACCATTATGGTGTGATCCTTCCAGAAGGTTTTTTCCCCCATGAATTTACATAAAAATATATGTACTTTAGGAAGAACACAGTATGTGTATGCATATATGGGTTTTTGGGGAATGTGTAAAATTATAGTAATAATCACTCTTTGTTCAGTAACTTTTTTTCAGTCAATAGTATATCTTGTAGATCTTTTCATGACAGTAAGATCTACTATTTAAAAAACTTCAGTCTGTTCACTTTTTCCCATCTTTTACCACCCTTGTTTCAGCTACCACCATCTCTCGTTAGATAAATGGCCGTCTAGTTGGTGGGCTTCCAGTCTTGGTGCTCTTACAATCCGTTTTCCCATGTAGCAGCCACTGTGACCTATTCAAAACATAAGTGAGATTATGTTAGCCTTTTGTTTTTAACAGAATACTGCAGTGTTTCCTGTTACAGTAAATTCCAAACTCTCGCTTTCAGAGTTAATTTTTTTCTGATGGGTAGTGATATTTACTTGTTTTGTTCATTGATTTTTCTCAAGTGCCTGAGACAATATCTTGTGTATACTAGGTGCCCTGTAAATCATAGTTGAATGCAATGAATGGTTAACTTGTTTGCTCAGTGAGTTGATCTGTGCCTGTTTTTATATATGTCATCTCATGCTTTTCTTCCCTAACTACCTTGTTTCAGCCGTATTGGCCTTTACTCTGTTGCTTGAATTCACCAGCCCATTCCCATTAGGCTTTTTCAGGAGCTACAGTGCCCTTCCTCCAATTTTTCCACAGTTGGATCTTTATTGTCACTTCAGATTTCTGTGTAAATGTTACCTGCTTAAGGTGGTTTTCTTTGATCACCAACGTAGTTATCTCTTCACTCTGTTTTGAAAAATTTTAAATACTACCTTTAAAAATAAGTGAGAGATCATGTTCAGAAATTTAAAAGATGCAACAAATACATAAACAGCTTCTCCATCCCTGTCACCCATCTGCAAAAGTGTAATTATTTATGTTAATGTCTTCTTCATGCTTCCAGAAGTTCCATATAGCAATATGAGCAAATGACAATATATATAAAGTAGTAAGTTTTCTTAAACCTTTTGTTTTTAACTGGTCTAAGTGGTTTTATTAGAGAAGGGGGATTATGAAGGATTTAAAACTTGGCATTGAGGCCCTTAAAGCAGTGGTTAAGACCCATACAACCAGTCTTTTCACCTTCTTAGATTACCTACTCTATAAAAATGAGACTATTGTGTTTAAAACACTTGAGATTCCCATTGATTTACCTACAAAGTTACCTACAAACTGTTCTCATCCTTCATTTTTTTCCCCTTTATTGATTTTTTTTTTCCATTTAGTCTCTGAGATTAAGGTGATTCACGTTAAGGATTAGTTCTACTACTGCCTGTGCCCATGACCTCACCCTCTCCATCTGCTCAATAACTTTTTCTTTCTTTACTATTAACTCTGCTGTCTCTTTGGCTTCAGCACAGCCCTTCATATACAGTAGGTGCTCAGAAAATATTAGTTGAATTAAACATATTGATGAAGAGTTTGGACTGAATTATAAATACCCGTGTGTGCATTCCAGATGTTAGCATCTCCAAGCCACAATTTCTTTTTTTTTTTTTATCATTTATTAAGTGGATACTTTTTTTATAATATAAAATGTAATGGAATTTTTATTTATAGAGAGTAGATAATGTGAAGCTAAAAGGGATTGGTTGAATCTTTATTCCAGGAATTGAAGGGGTCCACAATTTCTTAATCATTAAAATGTGACAAGTATAACTATTAAGAGTTGTTTTGAAGATGTAACTATGAAGTGGGTTGTATTAATTTCCTGTGGCTATTATAATGAATTAACCACAAATGCGTGGTGGCTTAAAACAACAGACATTTTTTTCTACTACAGTTCTGGAGGTCAGAAGTCAGAAATTAGTGGGCTCAAGTACTGTCAGCAGCACAATGCTTCCTCTGGAGGTTCTGGGGAAAACCTGTTCCTTGACTCTGTTACCACCTGGTGACTGCCAGCATTCCTTGGTTGCATCACCTGCTGCTTCCAGTCAGCCTCTTGGCCTACTTTTGTGCCTGTAATGATCTCCTTGTACCTCCCTTTGATAAGGGTACTTGTGACTGAATTGAGGGCCTACCTTCTCAGGTAATCTCATTTTTAAATCCTTAGTCATATCTGCAAAGACCCCTTTTCCATATATGGTAACATCTACAGGTTCTAGGATTAGGATCTCATATCTTTGAGTGCCATTATTCAGTCAGATAAATGGATATAAAGCACATAGCTTAGTGCCTCGCAAATAAGGATTTAAGCTTTCTAGATAGAGTCAAGAAAGATTTCAGATTGTCTGTAGGATTTAATCATACAGTTCCATGGGAGCCAGGGAATATGAGAAGGGATCAAAAAAAAAGCATGAAGAGCATGAAGTAAGAAAATTAGTGATCAGACCATATCATTTTATTCAATACAGTGGATAAATAAGATAAATGTGTAGAGAATGGATTTTTATTGTCAGGTTTTGGTTATTTTCCTGTTCAGATGTGTATAGGATTTATCATTGTTCTCTGTGTTGAAGTTTATAGGATAAACACTGGTGAAAAGAAGGTGATAGAGGTAAATAACACTGCATAATATTACTGAAACCTAGATAATTACCTTTTTGTATTGCAGCAAGTTTGCATGTATACTATATGAAACGGTGAGTGAATGAGAGAAAGTCACAAAATCAGTATCATATTTTTCTTGGATATTAGATACAATTCATTTTTACTTAGAATACAAAAAGACAATGAAAGTATCTTTAAAAAATTCTTTCAGTTATAGTAAAAAAAAAATACTGACATTTGTTTTTTTCCATCTCCCTAACAGGTTCTTTGGCATGGACACAGGTTCAGTGGGAGGATTAGAATTGACTGATCAGACTCCGGTTTTATTAGGGAGTACGGCCATGGCAACTAGTCTCACTAATGTAGGAAATTCATTTAGTGGTCCACCTAATCCTTTAGTTTCTAGATCTAATAAATTTCAAAACTCATCAGTGGAAGATGATGATGACGTTGTTTTTATCGAACCTGTACAACCTCCCCCACCTTCTGCACCAGTGGTAACTGATCAAAGAACCATAACATTTTCATCATCAAAAAATGAAGAACTGCAAGGAAATGATTCCAAAATTCTTCCTTCCTCAAAAGAGTTGGCTTCCCAGAAGGGAAGTGTAAGTGAGACAATTGTCATTGATGATGAAGAGGACATGGAAACGAATCAAGGTCAAGAGAAAAATTCTTCCAATTTTATTGAACGGAGACCTCCTGAGACTAAAAACAGAATCAATGATATGGATTTCTCAACTTCCAGTTTTTCAAGAAGTAAGGTAAATGCAGGAATGGGTAATAGTGGCATTACCACAGAACCAGACTCTGAAATTCAGATTGCTAATGTTACAACCTTAGAAACAGGTGTAAGCTCTGTGAATGATGGCCAATTAGAAAATACTGACGGGCGAGATATGAACCTAATGATTACACATGTAACATCACTGCAGAATACCAACTTGGGAGATGTCTCTAACGGACTGCAGTCAAGTAATTTTGGTGTTAATATACAAACATACACCCCATCTTTAACTTCACAGACCAAGACTGCAGTAGGACCTTTTAATCCTGGTAGAATGAATGTGGCAGGAGACGTATTTCAGAATGGAGAATCTGCAACTCATCATAATCCTGGTAAGCAGTAAGCAACCTACTCCATGTAAATGAATTTAAACTTCGGTTGATTTCTTTTTTCATTGTAGTAATTTGTGCTACCATAAGATGTGTTAACTCTTTTGACTTTAAAGTTTGAAATTTTAGCTAATCAGAGATGCAAAGCCATGTATAGTATTTCTCTGTGGGTTATTAAGAAAATTAATCATAGACATTTATGTCCAAAGGATTTAAAAAAATACTCTTATGTTCATCACCAATAATATCTAATAATTTGGCATCTCAATTTGTCATGTATTCACTTTTTGCTAATATACTTTTAGTAGTAGTACTTTAATATGTAAGTAGAGAACAAAAAAATTAAGGAGCAGTATAGTATTGTACAATAATTGTATTTAGATTTGTTTTTACTTTCTGTGTTTAATTTTTATTGCCTGTCTGATTTTAATTTTACAGAGCATTTTTTTTTTAATAGGAAGTTGGTAAATTTCTTGACAATTAAAAAAATTTTTCTGTGGGCAGTTTTGCTTTGTGAAAATGTTGAAATAGGGAAGTCTTAAGAACTCTGGCTTTTTCATGACCATGTCTCTATGATACATCCCTCTCTTTGTATTTGTCTGCCTCTGTCTCTCTGGTACATCCCTCTCTCTATTTTTGTGTCATTCTTTCATCATTTTGGGTTCATTAGCAAGTGTTACCAGCCTAAGAATTGTGGATAATAGTAAGGAGTGACTAAAAACTAGGTAGTGTAGATAAAATGCTAGTCATTTTTCTTTTTTACTTATTACTTTTTTTGATTATGAGAGAAATATATAATTTTTGAATAATGTTTAGAAAATCTATAATTAAAAAATGTAGGAGAAAAATCCCCTGTAGTCTCATTAACTGGAAATTATCACTGTTGTGTGGTTGTCTTTCATTCAGACTTTGCTTTGTATTTTTTAGCTTGCTTGAAATGAAGCTTTTTTTAAATGTTTTTGTTTCCTGTTCTCCCCCATATTATATTATATTATTTTTTCTTATACTATTAACATTTGTACACAAAGGTTTTTAATGGCTGCACAATGGGCATAGACATACCATTCCCATATTTACCTTTTACAGTGTTTCCTGTATTTTATTATTATAGGTCTATATATGAACATCTTTGCTCAAATTTTTTATTATCTCCTTAGAGTATGTTCCTGGAAGTAAAGCTACTGGCCAAAGAATATCATTAATTCTGACCCCCCAAAGATTTTTGGTTTAAAAAATAAACTGGTTTATAGTAGTTTTGAATTATATTCCTTTTTACTTACTTTTTTGAAAATTTATCATGCCTTCTAAGACTCTTTTCCCCTATAGGTACATATATACTTATAGGTAGGTCAGTGTATATGTGTGTGATGTCTCTGTGCATGTGCATGTATATGTGTGGTATGTATGAGTTTATATGAGCATTTTTCAATTGTGGAAATATATTGTCATAGATCTTGTCAATTTATGCTATTACCAACTATATATTATATATTAGTGTGTCTTTCATTTTAACCTTCTCGATCACATAAAAGTTTAAGAAATGGTAATGCCCAAATTAGTTTCAAGATGTCTATTTTGTCTTTATTAAAATTATATTAAAAATACATGATTCAAAACTACTATAAAGCAGTTTATTTTTTAAACCAGAAATGTTTGGGGGATCAAAATTAATGATATTCTTTGGCTAGTAGCTTTACATCCAGGAACATACTCTAAGGAAAAAATCAGAAATTTGAACAGTTGTCAAAAAGAATATAATATTCAGTCTCATCCTTGAGAATGGTACATTTAATTCTAACCTGAGGTCATAGTACAGGTATATTTATATTTTTGCAAACTCTTCCTACTACACCTTTAAATATCTAACAATAGATCTTGAACTTTTAACCATATCAACTATATATGTTTGATGTTTTTTAAAATTATTTAGCTCAGTTCCAGTTTTTACTATTTAAATAGCTCTTAAGAATAATATGCTTATGCATGTACCTTGGGATACTTATTTCTTTAGGAATATTGCTGGATCAAAGGGACATATGTGTGTGTCTGTTTACTTGTACTGTCACACAAGGGAATGTAAATTACTCATCAGAATAACTAAATAGATACACCTCTTGCACTTGTGTTTATGAATTTAGCTTTTATTTGTAATAAAGAATTATAAAATCTTGGCTATTTATATTAGCTCTTGGACTAATTTTGACTTGTGATGAATTAAATTGATGTCCCTTGATAGTCCTTTGTATATAACAGAGGGCTTAGACACAATGACTAGGTCCCTTCTATTCTTAAAAGTATTTTGATGTTGGAGGAGGTGGGAGGTTGAAAGTAGAGGAAATGTAAGCTGAAATACAGATAAGGGGAGCCATTACATTATTTATAGAGGGCCTAAAATTAAATCGGGGGTGAGGGCAGGGAGAAGCATCATTTTTTCAAAATCAAGTTAATAGATGCCCTTAAGTTTAAATATGTTCCTTTAAGTGTATACTGTATTCAGATGATAAGCCTACAAAGTTGAGAATCCCAAGGAGCTAGTATTTGTGTTGTAACAAGCTTATTATTCCTTCAGACATATGTTCAAATATAATTCTTGATTGAAAGCCCTTCATAACATGGAATTGCCAGTTCTTTCAATTATTTGCTTTCTTCATGTACTTAAGTATTTTTACTATTTGTTAAAACTGGTCAGTTATCCTGATGATAGGATAACAGGATTCCATAATGCATTCTATTTACTCTGTATATGAAGTATATATTTTTTTGAAGGTATATTGTGGACTAAGGTAAAATTTGAATAGCAGTGTATGTAGCCCCTTAAAGCCATTAGGTTAATGGACTGGGTCAGAACCAAGAAATTTCCCTCTAAAAGGTTTTGTTAGTATAGACTTGTCCCTGGGACCTAGTTTTTATTTGTACTTACAGTGGAAGGCAAAAATTGTTTTTCATTTGGAAGGGCCACTTCTGTGTATGGAAGTTCAAACTTCAGAAGAAACCAGAAAGGAAAAAAATTACAAGAGACCAGAGTACAAATTATAGGTGGTGGCCTGAAAAGTTTCAAAATGAAAAAAGGTATTGACATTGACTGGTAGTGTAGTGAGAGGTCTGTGGAACAGTAATGAGTGCACCAAACTGGGGACTTCTGCTAGGTACCAAAGAAACTTACTATTAAAAGAGAAAAAAGATGAATAACTCTGCAGTCCAGTGTTAATGTTACACATATCTACTAATACTGTGCTGTGTTGAAACTTTGCAGTAGTACAGTAATATGATGTTGGATTGGTCACTACTGTATTTGTTGGCTTAACGTCATCCTTTCTGTGTAAACACTCTAACTTTAATATTATGTGGTGTATTTATAGGTCATGGAACTAAATAGGAAACATTTCTAAAAAAGTTTTGAATGTAATCATATGTAATTTTATCAGACCAGGGTTAGATTTATCAAAGGTTCTGATTGGTCAGGATTTTATTATATTTTTATATTGATGTATTTGAAGTAATATTCTGTAAATTACTTCTTACTGATACAACTAATAACTAATGGCTAGTATTTTTTAGTCTTATCTGTATGGTAGTACTATGGTTTATTACATTTGTTATCCCATTTACTGTTATCATTTGTATGAGGTTGGTATCAGTTGCAATCTAAAGAAGAATTACAGTTTCAGTAGCTTCTCAGTCTAGTAAGTGATTGAGCCTGAATGTCAGCCATTCTTACTCCAAAACTTGTGTCCTTTCTCTCTCTGCTATGCTGTTTCCTTATTAATGTCTTAAATTTGTACAGAATGAGAAGTTAAAACTGTTTCTCTGATAAAAATTTCAGTGTGTAAATACCTGTTTCAGTTACTCTTCCTTGTGCATTTTGTTTTTAAGATTCTTGGATCTCCCAGTCAGCTTCATTTCCCCGTAATCAAAAACAACCAGGGGTGGATTCTTTATCACCAGTGGCCTCACATCCTAAACAGATTTTCCAGCCTTCAGTCCAACAGCAACCCACTAAACCAGTTAAAGTCACTTGTGCAAACTGCAAAAAACCTTTACAAAAGGGACAGACAGCTTATCAACGAAAAGGATCTGCTCACCTCTTCTGTTCTACCACCTGCCTTTCTTCCTTCTCTCACAAGCCTGCTCCAAAGAAACTCTGTGTTATGTGCAAAAAGTAAGGCTTACCTTTCAACATTATTCTATTTGGTTGAATATTGGTGGTATAATTGTTATATACTCTTAGAGATGAATTACTGTGTTCTAAAAATTGGTAAGCTAGTTGTGTGAATCTTAAAGCCAGATGTGTAATGGCTTCGAAGAGTTCTTCAGCAAGCCCAGGTGGCTTATGATTTAAAGACTTTCTACTTTGATAGGCTTTGGGGTTGGTTTAGATACTAGGCTCTTGTAATTACTATTGTTTGTAATCTCCATTGGACTTCTTGGATTTATAAAAATACATAGATGCTTATTTACATTATTAATTATAAAATTTAATCCTTGTCAGGTAGAATTATTAAACAGTTTATATATGACTACTTATGTGTTAAAATATGTCAACTTTTACACCATCCCAATATTAAGATTATTTAAAACTGGCAAGTTTTTAGATTTTATATGTGTTTGTTTTGAATATTAAGTCATTAGAGTACTCACTGTTTCAAGACCAGTTTTTTGACAATCTTGGAGAAACAGCATCATCTCTTTAGCTGTTTTTTAGGTCTGGCTTCACTAGTTAAAAACAAGTGGAATATGGTATATTGTGTGCAAGGTCAAACCAAGTGGGTTTTCTGTGCCATCTTGTGGAGTAGTCCAAATTTGTGAAGATATTTTTAAATCTTAGAACTTTGGAAAGGGCTTAGTGCTATGTATAAGTTTCAATAAATCCAAATATTGGAACAATTGTCCTACAGTTTATAGATTGCTTTATAGTAGTGGACTTGCATATTGCAATAAAGAATCTTAAAATTCAGAATTTAAGGAAAACTTCAAAGGTCATCAATACTATCATTTTCTGACATTTCTAATTGCAGTTGAGAGCTGTATGGCTTGGTAGGTGGGATTATTTTGGGTTATCAGGGGTATATTTAAATTTAGTTATCCTCTGTAGAAGGTTTGTCATGTTCCTGTGACCTAGATAGCTCATGCTTTCTACTCCCATGGGAAGGGAATTTAATAGGTGTTATAAATTTATATATACCTCAGTAAATTAAGCTTTCACCTTAGTAGTGTAGTATTTTAAGTGTATCCAATGTGTCTGAAAGCATTGTTAAGGAGTTTGACGATAAATTGGGTATGGGAAGGTTAATGGTATAAAATAGTTTTGCTTCTCAATCTTTTGTGTTCATATTTTATTGCCAAGAGTTTTTAAATAATAAAAATAATTTAATGTATCTAAAAATGGTGTTGGATTCCTAGGATTCAATTTATGGAAATTAAAAATGTCAGTTACTACTTTTATATATGACTTATTTTAAAAAAGAATTTTACTTGAAGTTGTTCTTATTTTTCAGAGATATAACTACAATGAAAGGAACCATTGTTGCTCAAGTGGATTCAAGTGAGTCCTTCCAGGAATTCTGTAGTACATCTTGTTTGTCTCTCTATGAGGACAAGCAGAATCCTACTAAAGGAGCTCTAAATAAGTCAAGATGTACAATTTGTGGTAAATTAACAGAGGTTTGTATCTTTGTGCTTTATTAGTAATTCTAACTTATGGGAATTTTTTTAACTTTAACAGTTAGGACATATTCACTCTTTTATCAGTGTATATTTCCATAAAAGTGAGGATATATAAAATCTATCTTATAAATATTCCATTATATAATTCATTCTCCCATAGGGAGAATCATTTAGGAAAAACTAAAATATAATATTAATTTACATTTTTCCTGAGGTTGGGAGCCCTCACAGACAGGACCATAGTGTTTAAACAAATAGACTTACTACATAAGAAAGACAACAATCTTGCTTAAGAAGTAGAATAAATGGAAGAAATGTTTTTTGGTAACTGCATTGTTAATACAGTATTAAAGTTTCCGCATTTGATTAAAGAAAAGGTAATATGTATACATACTTCATTTAGATTATGTATAATATTGGTTCTCTCTCTCTCTCTTCCCTTTCATTTGTCTAAAGATTTCCAGTCTGTTTTAGAAATTTTATACTAAAATTATATGAACTTATTTGCTTCCTATCATTTATATATGCTTCTGGAGAAAATTTTAGTGATGTCACTGGTGGTTTTTTCCCCTCATGATGTACATACATTGTATTCCTGTGTGCATAAAAATAGGTCAAAGAATAATGAAATGTGCCTTCTCTCCTTTTCCCTAAACAAAGCTTACACAGAAAAATTTGTGAGGCATTTTCTTTCTATTGGACACATTGTTATTTAGCTATTTGTCATACTCATTTGTTTTCTTAAAATTTTGTTGTTTTTCTTTTAGATTCGCCATGAAGTTAGTTTTAAAAATATGACTCATAAGCTGTGCAGTGACCACTGCTTTAATAGATACAGAATGGCCAATGGTCTAATAATGAATTGCTGTGAACAGTGTGGAGAGTACTTGCCCAGCAAAGGTGCTGGAAATAATGTTCTGGTGATTGATGGTCAGCAGAAAAGATTTTGCTGTCAAAGTTGTGTCAGTGAATACAAACAGGTAATTCACGATCTAATCAAAATTGGCCATTCTTTTGAATGTTTTAAATTGCTGTAGTAATTTTACTGTAACAGCATTTATTAACCAGATTTATCTTGGCATCTCATTTAATTCTATTATTGTCTTCACATCTTGAGATGACCTGTCTCAAATGAGTACTGAAATGTATGTAGATATTGGAAATAAACTTGTGATTTTACACATAACAGTAAATACTACCAGAATGACTTCTTTTTCAAATTTTTTCTTTTTTCAGTGGTGGAGAGGGGTTAGGAAATAGGATTTTTCAAACTATTAAACCTTAGCTTAGAAGTGATTATCTTACTTATATTTCAGTTTTAAAGTCCTTTTGATTTCATTTACACATATGGTTCAAAAGTAAAATGTACATGAGATAGACTCAGAAAAGTTCAGCTCTCATTTCTTTCTTCTCTTGGTTCCTGCTCATTCTTTATAGGTATCAATTCAGTTATTATTATTTTATGTTTTCTCTTTCTGAAAATTAAGGAAATACCCAATTCATTATTTTTTTTCTCTGCAAAAGGCAGCATACTGTATATATGTATTATACTGCACCTTCTATTTTTTACTTCAAAGTGTATCTTAGAAATAATTCACTGTCAATATATATTGACCTTCCTCATTCTTTTCATGGCTGTGTGAGTTAAGTTTTCAGGAATTTTGTGAGTGGTTATTAAAAACATGCATTATTAAAAATTGTAGAAACTTTAAATTATTCTATTCTGCTAGGGCTGCCATAACAGAAGTTTATTTTCTTACAGTTCTAGAGGCTAGAAGTCCAGAATCAAAGTGCCTTTCCGGGGTTGGCTTCTGGTGAGGCTTGTAGATAGCCTCCTTGCTGTGCCCTCACAGGATCTTTCCTCTCTATGTAAAAGGAGAGAGGGAGCTCTCTCTCTGCTCTCTTTTCCTCTTCTTATAGTAGGCCATCAATCCTATATGATTAGGACCCCACCCTTAGAACTTCATTTAACCTTACTACCTCTCTGAAGGCCCTATTCCAAATACACTCTCATTGGGGTTAGGGCTTCAAGAATATGAATTTTGTGGGGACACAGTTTATACCATAACAATATTGAAAACAAAAGTAAATACGCAAAAATAACTCCTTCCTAATTTTTATATGTTATCTGTGCTTTTACATCTGTTGTATCTGTATGATGAAAGTACTACATATGATGATGTGCTTCTGTGTGTTTCTTCCCAATTTCATGTTCACTTTCATTTTGGTAGCCTGAACTTCGCCATGTAGTATTTTCATGGCAAATGCTAAAAATTATGGTACATCCCTGTACCTCCCAGGAGCTCATTTCACCATATAAGAGCCAACACTGGGCTGTACAGTAGTTTATTGGGTCACTTTGCTGTTTGTGTATTTAGGTATTTCCAATTTTTTTGCTGATAAAAGTAATAGATGATGAATAACCTGGTGTATACTTTACCTCTGTATTTGTGTAGACAGAGTTTTGGGGTAGATTGTTAAGAGCAGGATTGCTTGCTAAAGGCAAATGCTTATGTTAGTATATTAGATATTGTTAAATTCCCCTGTTAGAGCTCTACCAGTTTGTATTCCTTTCAGTCATGTCTACGGAAGTGCCTGTTTCTCTTCAGCCTCTCCAAGAGAGACTGCTAACACATCTCTCTGATTGATAAAAATGGTATGTTACTATAGTTTTAATTTGTATCCCTTTTCTTAGCACTGATGATAAGCAGTTTTTTATCTATCAGAGCTAATCGTCTTCCCTTTTCTGTGAACTATTGGTTTACATCTTTTACCCATTTTTCTGTTGGGGCTTTGATCTTAATTTTTCTTCATTAAATTGTACATTTTTAATTAGAAAAACATGTCTGTGATATGTTCATGAAACCATGGTTTACTGCCTACTATATTGCAGGTATTGTGCTAGTACAGTGGAAGTGTAAAGTAGAGATAGTTCCTGCGTTCATAGGATTTGCATTGGGGTGGCACACGTCAAATTGGTTAATATAAGGAGGTCTATTTTGTAGTTGAAAGAATCAGACTGATTCTAGTGCCTAGGAGTCAGTATAGTGTTTGCTGTTGTTGATGTTGCATCTGTTAATCTTCTGATAACCTAGATGGTTTGGTAACAATGCTGGCTTTAATTAGTTGGCCTGGGTTAAAGTCTCAGCCCCAACAACTATCTGTGCCATGGACAAATTACTAAACCTCTCTTGTTCCTTGCCTGGTCTAACCATGTGTAAAGTTGTGGAAATAGTAATTTCTATCTTACAGTGTTAATAAAAAAAGATAAAATCTGTGCCTTTTATCTTGATTTTTAAGATCCTAGTCAAGAAACTGAACATTATTATTCTCCATCAGCCACTCTGTGCTTTCTCCTGATTATTATCCCCTTCTATCTCCTCAAAGTTAACCACTGTATTTTACTTCTGACATCATGGTTTGACTTATTATAAACTTTATGTAAATAGCATTAATATGCAATGACATTTGTCAATGTTATATATAACTGTGATTGGAGGCTTATATAATGTTTTGTCATGTAGTGTTTTTAATTTTAATACTGTCAAACGGAAATATAAAAAATACTGCTTCTGGTTTTTGCTTCATGTATTTTCCTCACTCCCATGCTATAAAGGAATATATTTCATGTTTTCTTCTAATGTTTGGAAGGGTTCATTTTAATATTTAAATATTTAATCCATTTGTTATTCTGGTATATAGTTCAACTATGGTTCAAATATTACCTCCTTTCAAATCAGTGTCTTTCATAATCAGTATCATTATGTCAGAGTGTCCTATCATAGAACAAGGGATTTTGTTTCATTTGTTACATCAGTGTTCTTGCTAAGTTTTCTTAAATATTTTATCTTTTTGCTGCTATTTTTTTTTATCATTAATCTACAGTTACATGAAGAAGATTATGTTGACTAGGCTACCCCCTTCACTCCCTTACCCCCCA